CGAAACTGAAACTAATTTCATTGCCAGTGACAGTGAGATAACAGATAAAAAAAAAACGTAAAGTAGAGCAATACAGAAGCTTTGCGTCATGCTGAAAATTAAGATACCGATTTGCGATAATGTTTATACAGTGCTGCAAGACATTATATCATTTAAAACGTTCAAATTTTTATTAAAACAGTCGAGCCTTTCATAGCTGTTACACAAGATGAAATTGTGAATGGTTTGGACTACCTTTGTTGGGATTCTCATTGTTTGGGCTTCCTGTCTTCCTCTTTAGTAAGCGACAATCTCCCATAAGCGACCACTTTCTCCTGACCCGAGGTGGTCGCTCACGAGAGAGTTAACTGTATTTAGAAGTTTGAACTATGTCCGTTTTAGTTTGTTAAGTTCGATGACGTTTTAGATTATTTCGAGTTGTTTCGTCGATTTCAGATGGATTCACGTGTTTAGATGGCTTCTTAGGTGGTTTCAGGTGGTTTCCTTTCTGGTTTTAGATGGTTTCAGATGGTTTCAGATGGTTTCAGGTGATTCCAACTTTTAGTACCTACGTTGAAAACGCACGTGTTGGGCTATTGTTCTGCCAATTAGATCTATTGTTTTTCCACGTTCTCGTTGCCGTAGCCGTCGTGGTTTGCTTTAAGTCCCTAATTTTACTTTGCACAGGCTCCCCTACAAACAGTCGCAGTACAGTGTTCACATCGCATTTAACTGTTCGAACAATAAACGTAATAAAAAGTTGTATCAAGAAGTCATCGCGCTCCAATACTTAATTGATTCTGCGGAGTAGGCGGGCGGCGCAAGCTTGATGACACAATAAATCATGACCTTTCTATTTCTGGGTCACACACGTGAAAAACAGTAATTCCTTTCTCTTAATGTTGATTTTCTATCTATTTGCAAGGTAAAGTTAGATAGATGAAAATGGGGTGTACTATTTCTCAAGTTAGTCGAAGTGGTCCTGGAAGGAGAAGTCCCGGGGATTCCCGAGGGTCACAGTGCCACGTTTTGCTGAAACTTACTTCTTCAAGACTTCTGGGGAAAGAAGGGTTAAGAAAAGAGCGTGGATTTGTAGTGAGACATATTTGCCTCGTAAAATTGTCATTAAGTTACATGCGTGGGAAGCAGATACGGATCCATATTAGTATTACAGTTCAACAAAATATTCTGAATTCCGGTTGCCCACAACTATTTTTCTGCGTTCAAGATTACAACTGAATAGATGGTGTTGCGCAAGAAGTTTTAATAAGGTGAAAAAAAAAAAAAAACGCACATGAAAGTAGACAACCTTATTGTAAGTAAGGGCGAAGTAAACTGCGCTTAGTTCTGGAAAAGACACGTTTCATTTCAGTTCAGAGTTATTTCGTTATCAAACCGCACGTGTTGCCAGTTGTTGATGTATATGCATCGATATTGCAACAGAAAGAAAAATTAAATTACTGTTTTTTCAATTACAAGAACAAGAAAACGTTCGAATTTCAAACCTTTTATCTCCGTCTCAATAACTTACTTCATTACTCCTTCGATTCGTCTGTTAGCTTTTAATAGATTCACGTTTTGAGAAAATCATAATTTGTCTGCAATTCCCTTTCCGCACTGACTGAACCAGGATAGGTTGATTGTTGGCAAATTTGAATTGCTTAACATGGTATCACGATTTAAACAGTAATATACTAAAAACCGCACCAATATCTTAAGTGCCATGTCACGTTCTCATTTTTGTGTTTTGAACATGAAATCTTGTCATTATCCCCTTTAGGAAAAAGCTTAAAACTGGTGTTTAAATAATCCTTTTTATGATCAGTTTGCAAGTTTTCCTCCATGTTTCTATTAATTTCTTAATTTATAGATTTAGCCAAGGCTAAATGCGGAGCTCCCGCCCAAGTTCGTAATATTAATAACATAAAAGATGTGCATTTGGCAAGACTCGCCTGAGACACCCCTCCCTTCGTTTTGATAGTCTCCCCTACCTGTGCAATCTGAAGGCACGTACGTACGTACGTTCGGTCAGTCACGTGACAACCAAACGAAAAGTGGTTGACCATATTCCATGGGTATGGGGCTCTGCCCTACGCTATAATACTTACATGGACAATTTATCTAACAATCAAGACCTTGTTAAGTTCGCGACGATCATTTTCTTTATTGTCATAACCTTAAAGTTTGATTTAGGGTGATACTGTTGAAAGAAATTAGATGCTTGTCGCTCTTATGAGTTAACAGGTTAACCTGATCCAAAATCGCTAGGTGTTGCATTTTTACTTCCGATTGGAAGCCAAGTAACAGAGCAGAATTAAAACAAAACCGATTGCGGCTCTTTTGCAAGTTTTCCGTTTAGAGGACACTTACGTGTATTGTCATTCAATTTTGATTCGTTGGCCGTGTTTGTTCGTTCGGTCGTTCACTGATTCATTGATACATGTTCGTTTGTGCTCACAACATTATGTGGAAAACCAACCAAACTCGCCAACCCCTCTGCTACGTATCACCCAAAGGTTCGCTAAGCATCACGCCAAGCGGCGTTGGGTATAAATCTCACAATACGTTACTTAAAAAAATTTAGCCACTCACCCAAAACTAGAGCTAGGAGTTAGACAAACTGCAAAGTAATGCTTATCAAGGGTTAGAATCACCATATGGTTGGTTAAGTCCACCTAGTATACAATTTGTTGCAGCCTAAAACAACTAATAATTCATATTTAGAAAACAAACTTATAAAAATGTGAATTGAATCCATACGTAAAAAATTAGGAATATCAGATAATCCACCGCAAAGCGCTGCCTCACCACCTCGATGTAAGTTTACGTTTAGCATTCCGCAACAAGGCATCTTGCTCAACCGTACAGCGGTTGTACTAAGTTTCAGCGATTTCCATCGAATCTTCAATTTGGTATAATTACATCAATAGACAGTGGACAGAGCTGAATCATTTCTGCAACTTATTCTGCAGTAAACCAACCACATATCCAGCTTTGTTTAAGCCTATTTTTGTGTTTATCATCTCGGCCAGATATGTTATTTATTGAATTAGATTATCACCATGGGATTTGATGGCACAACAAGCAAGGTAGAAACCCTAATGAAGGGATCTCCTCTTCTGTCATAGTTTCTCATATGTCACGCCATGTTGTACACCTTCCCCGATTTTCTCTTTACCGTGCTTGCTCCGATCTTTCCTTTTCTTTTCGCCTTCGTCATCTCGACTTCTCCTCCTTTCCTTTCCTTCGTCGCTTTCTCGATGCCGTGGTTTTCTCCTCTCTTTATCTTTCTCCTTTCTTTCGCTGTCTTCTCCTTCTTCGCCTTTATCCTTGTGCTTTCGTTTGTGTTTACTTTTAGATTTCTCGCCACTCTGAACACAGAAAACAAATACCACGCTGTGACTCTACTTAACGATTAGATTCAATGTTGTCGTGCGTCTATTCAGGAATAGGTAACAGATGACAACAAAACGTGATAAGAACAACAAAGTGGCACACACAACCTAGCTGAGTTTGTAACTGATGTTCTTCCCATTTGAAATCGTCTGTGATCAGTGTACAGACCCACGGCAACAGGGAATCTACTTTTTTTATATATATATATATAATAGTTAAGAAAGAGAGACTACTCGTAGTTCAGCCAACCGGAAAATACTTTTTTAAATATTTTTTTGCTATCCATTTATTTACTTATTTATTAGTCATTTAAGTCGCCATCCTATAATTCCAAAGAGCCTGCTCACAGGCGCCGAATACGGGGGGGCCTTAGAGACAGACAGTCCTTTGCAGCATACGTGCCGGCACCGAGGCACGAGCGATGAACCCCGCGTTAGGTCAGACGGGGGTCTGGCACGAAAATAGAGACTACCACAACGCGATCAATTAAAAGACACACGTCGTGATATTGGATGCCTAGTAGCCACAAGAAATCCCTTTACACCCTAACGTTGGTATTGATATTCTCCACACTGACCTCTTTATATTTCCTGTGGGACGGATGGGGAGAATTTGTTTGACAATCATGAGCTTCTAAATTGGTTAACAATTCCCTTATTCATGACCCTTACAGTTGATTAAAGAGTAATATTGTAAGTGGAAATTAGAAGCCAGTCATTCTTCAAGGTTAGATTATAGGGTTAAGAAGCAAAAATGCTTAAGGTAGAGTGCATCAACAGATCCTAGAAGATACGCACATACCTTGTTCTCTTTCTTTTTACGGCTTTTAATTTCTTCATCTAATCGCGGATGGGAAAGAGAGAAATGACAGTTGTTAGCTTAGAGTAGAAATCATACTATGATAGAGCTTCGTATATATTCCTCAACTTCTTTCTACATGATGACTCCCGGTTCAGACCACGTTCTCATTTCCAAACAGAACCATGAATGTAAGGTGGGGGGGTGGGGGAAAACGGGGGGAAGGGAAAAGGGGGAAGGCGGGGAATCAGTGCTCATCATTTCACACCAATTGTTCGAAAGTTTCTTCACTTACATGTATCTCCATTGTCTTCTCCATCGAGGCCCATGTCTATTAAAGAATTGGATGCTACAAACAAAACAAAACAAAACAAAACAAAACAAAAATTCAAAAGTTTAAAAGTGGTCTGGGAAAGAGGCGACCTGACTGCTCTCACAGCGCCTCTCTCTCTCTCCACCCCAGAGTGTAAATGGGTGACGGCGAATGTTCAGAGAAGCCTGATAAAATATTTGGGGGGGGGGGAGCCTTTCGATGAACTGCATCCCATCTTGGGTGGGGGGGGGGTTTAGTAATACTCTTAGTTGCTTCATGCTAAAGAAACTAGGATAGGCTTAAGCTATATGGCCCACTCGGCTTGATTATAGAGGCTCCCTTCCTTTTTACGCGAGGAAAATGCTTTGTTTACAAGGTTGTCCCTAGCCTCAGTCGAATGCAGTACACAGGGTAGGAAAAGAGAAAAGAATACAGCAGCTTACCATTTTTTGGTACTCTGGTTTGTTGTTTCATTTGTGAAGCCATGAACTGCTCCCAATCATCTGCAGGTATGACAGGGGTATCGCTTTTTCTAAGGAAAAGGAATTGAAGACAATTATCCAATAAGGTACGAATTGTAAGACAAATTCACTTGTTAACCACATTTATCAGCAATCAAACGTATCGCGTTCAGTGCAAGCGTCTTATTCGGACGAGTTGGTGTTACAAGCTCGCTATATTTTATCCGTCCGGCCATGTTTGATTCAGAGTGAGAGTGGACGGTGGAGGGAGGGGCCGGGAAAGACGAGACTCCACCCCCTCCCCTATCTTTCCTTTTGATCGTCGCCCTCCTCCGCCTTGGTACAAGTCTCTTTCTCTCCCCACTCCCCAGCCTTCCGCTGCTGTAAAAATCAAAGTTGGCAACTATGCTTTCTACCAAGAAAATACCGATCACTTGTTGGCCAAAATCACTCTGCAAGCTATTAAAGTCACAGACCTTACAGTGTTGTCGTTTTCAGCACGGAACGGAATCTTAGGAACAAAAAAAAAAAAATACATGGACAAAAGAAAACATTAAATTTTCAATCATACAAATAACGAAGCTGCAAAAAAATCAATAAAGTTTTTGAGGCAATACAATCTCACGATAGGGTGAGTAAAATCACCTCTACATATCGCTTCGTCACAAGAAATTTGAGATTTTCGTTCGAGCACAGCTTGTGAGCAGGTGAGCGTGCACTAGTGTATTAAAGGGGAGTAAGAGGCAGTCGCTAGGGCGTAACAAGATTTTTACATGGGAGGGGGGCAGGGGCGTAACTAGATTTTTACATGGGAGGGGGGCAGGGGCGTAACTAAATTTTTACAAGGGAGGGGGAGAGGGATCACACGTATGAGCCAATGTAAAATTGCCAGGAAAAAAGCAGCAGCCGTTTCCCTATTTCACAAGAATATTTCTCGTTTGTGGAAGTACATATACATAACAAAATAATAATAAAAATAAAATAAATAAAAATAACAAGGGTGAGGGGTAAGGAAACGAGTCTCTAATTTTTCTCATAATTAGAGGGACTAAACTCCAAATCATTCTAGTCTTATCAGTCGGGAAAAGTAGCTCTCAAATTTCCGAAAGACCAAAAGAACAAGTTGGTAAGTTACTGAAGAAACTGCGGTGCTCTGTCTGTGGGGAATATCACAAGATAGTTTTTTCGGCTGAGTTAATAATGTAAACTGACCAGCTTTTGAAACTCTTTACATAGGACAATTTCCCTTGTCGACTCAATTTAAAAAAACAAATTATCGGTTTAAAACCCAAACATGCTTTTTGTAATGAAAACTACCTTTGGATCTGAATCAGGCGAGTTTAGCCAGTCATCGACGTCCTCTGTTGCAAAACCAAGACCATCTACGACCGGTTCTTCCGTCAACAAAGACTTGTCTGGCATTTCAAGGCCTAACGTTAAGGACCTACTTTCCCTTTTTTGTTTTTCTTTGGTCCTCTGTTCTTCATTTTCTTTCGTCACTCTATCGTTTCTCTTTTCCACCTCAACTGTCTCCACTTCGTCTTTTTCGTCTTCCTCGCTTGAAGTCAACTCAACAGACAAGACTGTGTTCGATTTCTTTGCTGTTGTAAAAGGATCATCATCGAGCTCTTCATCGACGTGATTCGTAATAACAGCTGGGATATTTTCATCGTCAGAGTCCAAGTCCTCGGCGAATCCTGCCACCATTGGGTTTCGTTCTTCATTGTCACTAACGAGAAATGAACAAACGAGATCTTAAAGGAGCACTCTTATGAAACCGCCCTATAAGGGGTGAAGAAGGAAATAACTAAAAACGTGGAATACTATCGTCATTTCATTACATACAAATGATATTTTTTTCTTTAACGACTTTCGCTTTGCAGTGTGACAAATATGACATGCCTTATTTACTTTTAAACCGTGTTTTTTTCTTTTGTTTTCGTTTCAAACCAAGCGAAAAACGTAATATTAAGAAGATGAAAGAAAAGAAAAGAAAAGAAGAAAGGAAAAAATGACCAAAAAAATTGAAGGAAAGGAAAAAAAAAGAAAACCAGAGGTAGTGGCTGAATTAGTTACTTTTGTAACTTCATTCTTCAGAAATGAAAAAAGTTATAAGTGCTTGCGGAAAATTCAACTCCAGTACATTTACCTCAATAAGAGTAGTCGACAAGTATTCAATGCGACGGAGGAACGAACTATTTTTTCCTTGATTTATTGAAGCCCCAAATCCAATCTTACCTTTCACTATTGTCGCTCTCTTTCTGTTCCACTTCCACAGGTTTCGGTGGCAATTTCTTAGCTGCAGGTTTATTTATGCGCTTTTTACCTTTTGATCCTCCGTCGTCATCTAAAAACCCTGCATCTAATTCATCCTCTGGTATAAACTCGTCGATGTTGGTTGAGGAATGTGCCAAGCCATTCTGAGACAGGGCTGCTGAAGATAACGAACAGTTTAGGCTGGGAAGGGAATAAACAAAGGGGAAAGACTACTTAGAGCTGTCTGAGGACGTTACTATGGTCGCTTACCTTCTTTAACAGGTTCTTGGGTTGTTGCTGATAGGATTTTCCGTGACGTCTTCTCGTTAGGGAGGCTTCCATTAGAAGTGGTACTGCCATTAGGATTCTTTCCTGTGAACATTATAAAGGAGGAAAAGGTTGATGACTCATCAAGAACACTTCGATTGGGGGTCGTAAAACCATACTTAAACCAAACCAATCACAGTATCACATCGAAACTATGGAAAATATTAAAAAAAGGATAAATGAGAACTGAAGCAAACTTCTTTTAAGCGCGGGGAAGCGCAGGTGAACAAGCCACCCGCGTTTTCCCGCGGTTTTTCGCGGGTTCATTAGTATCATTACGTTCTGATTGGTTGAGAGAAAGGAGATAGTTTTCTTGACCAATCACAGCGCGAGTTCAGGGCACAGCAAAAGCTATTCTTGATTATTCCTCAAAATACATTGAAAATTTTTCTATCATTTTAACGTAAGAACCTGTTCTGTCAGCCTCTGAAAGAGAACCAGGTGCGACAGTCTGTTTGCCATCACCTTCTGCAGCAGCAGCCGCGGCGGCAGCAGCAGCAGCAGCAGCTTTCTTGGCTTCTTGATCTTTTTTTCTTCGGTTCAGCATACTAACAAATCTATTAATAAAATCAAGACGTTAATTTAACCTCTTCTTAACAGGCCACTAGTGACTAGTCCCTTTTGCAGCCATGGTTTGGTCTCGTCGCAATACGCGTTCTGTGACCGTTTCGCCTAGAGCGAGAGCGTTGCGTAAGGGAGCGAGAGAAAACGTGTTTTATTTTTGTGAGCGATCGAGAGAGCGTGTTGTGTTTGAGATAGTGTGTTGCCTGAGGGAGTAAGAGAATGCGTGTTGCGTTTAAGAGAGAGTGTGTTGCGTGAGCGATCGATAAAGAGCGTATTGTGTTTGACAAAGAGTGTGCTGATTGGGAAAGGTAAGAGAAGGTGTTGTGTTTGAGGTAGAGAGCATTGCGTGAGGGGGGCGAGAGAATGCGTGTTTTATTTTAGACAGAGTGTGTTGCGTGAGCGATCGATAAAGAGCGTATTGTGTTTGACAAAGAGTGTGCTGATTGGGAAAGGTAAGAGAAGGTGTTGTGTTTGAGGTAGAGAGCATTGCGTGAGGGGGGCGAGAGAATGCGTGTTTTATTTTAGATAGAGTGTGTTGCGTGAGCGATCGATAAAGAGCGTATTGTGTCTGACAAAGAGTGCGTTGATTTGGGAAGGTAAGAGAGGGTGTTGTGTTTTAGGTGGAGAGCGTAGCGTGAGGGGGGGCGAGAGAATGTGTGTTGTGTTTGAGATAGGGTGTGTTGCGTGAGCGATCGGGAAGGAGCGTGTTGTGTTCGAGATATAGAATGTGTTTGGCGAGGGAGCGAGAGAGTACGCGATGTATAATCATCAGTTGGGGAATCTGCTGTGAGATCATAAAATTGTGAGAAGAGACTATTTTTTCTGCTAGATGAAAGCGTCGAGTTGTTTTTAACGACAAGCTGACAAGAAGCAAATTCTTAACTAGCAACTCACTTGTCGTAATCCTGCTCCTCGGACTCCTTATGAATCTGCAATTCTTCAAGAGTTGACTGCGACGAAATTAACATTACAGAGTGTTTCATGCAATAGTTCTAACAAAGTCATGCCGATCATCTGTTTGCTGTTTCCATTTTAAAGTTTTATCTGTCTTTCTGAAGATAAGTGTGAGAAATTTGGTTTATGAGAGCTTTTCGATTGAGAAACCCAAAGTAATCATAACAACCAATCAGAAGAAAGGAAAATACCTTTAAGAGCCAATGAGAACTCTAAGTAAAACCGACCAAACTGCCTAAAGCGCGGGAAAACCACCAAACTGCCTAAATCGCGTAAAACACGCGGGCGACAAAGTCGTGATGGTTTTCGTTTTGTGTTTGATTGGTTGAGAGAGAGGCGCGATTTTTCTGGACCAATCACAGAGCAAAGTAAAGCAAAACCAAAACAGTCCCGGATTGCTTTCGATAATCAATTGAAAATTGCTCTCTAAGGAACACAATTATCATTGTGTAAACATAGATGTCTATTATCGTTATAAATTGCTACATCGTGGGAAGATCGAACTCAAAGATTGAGGAGGCATTAACTTATCTTACTTTGCACAAAATCTTAGTTCTTTCTCAATCTACATGCAACTGGATAAGCTACCATTCAACAAACAAACAAACGAAAAAAACTGATACATTCAAACAAAACGTTAACAATAAACACCCTCTAGTACCTCAGTGTCTTCTGCATTGACTTGCAGCTGTTTCATAAGAGTTTCTCTCTGTTAAAACACATAGAAGAGATTAAAGCAACAAAAAACAAAGGCAAAAAAAGAAGCAGTGGATTAGGGCGTTCAGGTGGTCGTATTAAGCAAAAGGTTACAATGCAAGGCAAAACTCGATACCAATCCCACGCGTTCAGTTCGTAAAACGAGGCGCGAAAGTAAATGATGCCACAGCAACATTTTTTTTGCCCTGCCGTTACAATCCCGCCGTTAATTATTTCGCTTTCTTTTAAAAAACAACGCGCGGAACACCCCAGTTAGAATTGCAATGAATACTAACCTGTAACAATAAGAAAGGTAAATTAAGAAACTTATGAATGTATTTCAGCCCAAAGCCGTTCCTCATGGAGGTCTCAGCATAGTGCACAGGAGGGCACCTGTCGGGTCTGATTCAAAATTCAACCTCGTCACAAAAGAGTACAAATAAAGGAAGACACACAAACAAACCATAAATCTACAGAGTATGACCAATGCAGATTCTTACGAGAATCAAAGCTCAACCAAATTCAACTGTTGATACATGATTTTTAAGACAAAACTTCAACTTGAACACTCCTGAAATGCTGAAACAAGTTTTGCTGGTTGCAACCACACTATTATGCATTTTGTTGGTGCCAGGCACGTGCTGGGTGTTGGTCAGTTGAAACAATAAAGAAAGTGTTAGAGCAAAAATGCCTGTTATCTGCACTAGTTGAGAGCCGAGAACAAACTAGGTGACAAGAGATTGAAACTTCACATTGGTATAATTGGTGATTTTCTTTTAATGCAAAAAGTTACTAGTTAACATCATTAATTTTACAGTTTTCACATGTAGCAGAGAAGGGTTTATGAGGTCTGGCCAGAGCAAAGGAGTAAGTTTTGAATTGGTCTGGGGAAAACTTATTTTGATTAGCTACATGTTATTTTTTAACATATCCTGAAAATAGTGCAACACAGGTACATGTATTTTCATTCACACTAAGTTAATAGATTAAGTACATTTTTCATTGTAATATGGATATTAATAAATAAGCTATTTTCAAAACATTAAAATTCCAACATGGCCCAAGGCTTAGAGGGGACTAAAACAAAATAATTATATGAATTGTTCATCCTTCAACCTCGATGTGATATATTTTATTTTAATCCCACCAAGCCTTGGAACCAAGTTTGAATTTTCATATATGGAAAATGATCTATTGACTTGACTTGCCTCTCCATATGTTCGATGAATGCTATGACTTCTTCTGCAGGGACTAACCTGTGTTCTTCCATGTCCCTGTGGTTGGCCTGGAAAATGCATTAAATAAAAAAACTACAATTCACTACTTGACTTACACTATAATTTTTTTTCCTCAACAATTTCACATTGACAATTTCTCAAGGCTTATTAGCAGTGGCTGTTTTGTTCAATGCTAATCACTACTTGATTGTTTGCACTGTTTGTTAGTCATGAAGACTAACATAATAAATTCCCACCATTAAAAGCTCACAAAGTTTTTTCAGTTAAAAGATGTCTTGAACTATTATGATCATCAAAATTTGGTAGCATGGACAACAGTTGCAAAGAGGGAAGTTAATACACCTTTAAAAATTTGAGCTACAAGTATAGTCACATCTTTTAAAAAGACTGTCAAACTGTCACATACGCCATGTTTTAATGACCATTTTTTCAAACATCACTTATTATTAATGACTTTGGTGATTACCAAAAAAATCATTTGGGATTCAAAATAGTTTGACATAGAGAAAGCTTGCAAAAACAGTTATGATCTGAGACTTACCAGAACAAGGACAGGAATATGGGCTGGAACTTTTGGAAGTTCTCTCTCCACATATTTAAAAGTCCTAAAGTTGCAAGAAAACACGGATCAGTGGCATTATAACTGCCAATTTGGCCTTAGTTTATAAGAATCAGAGTAACTGCTAACCATGGTTTGGTGATATCCATAACCATCAGAACACCATTAGCTCCTTTGAATACATCAACAAACTCTGCATCTAAAACTGTGCTGTCTTTCTCGGCCTGAAAATTTGACCATTGCATTAATTAAATAGAAACCAAACCCAGATAACATTACATGAAAATCATGCTTTATAAGGCGAAGAACTCACTTTCACCAGTTGTTCAAATACCAGAGTTTTGTATATCACAGAAAGTTTTAAAGCCAAATACAGCATTAGAGAATAATATTAGCATTTCAACATGTAGAGGAAATAATTATTCTGAATTCAAGGTTTTTTTGGCCATTAGAAGCTCCTGTTTCCAGTCATTTGTTTTCATTTCCCCAATAACTTGAACTACTAATAACTTGAACTGAGTTATCGAGATACAACTTACTGTCCGTAGTATATTTAAATAATCAGCAATTAGATGTACTAGTAATTACAATAATTCATTACAAAGTTCTGATCAATTAAATATGTGGAGTGAATTCAAGTCTTAAAAACATGTTTTTCAATATTAATAAATAAAAGTGTAAAAGAAACCAGTGTGAGCTACAACTGTAGAATGTGCTTAACAAAGATGATGCTTCAAAGGAAGAACCTAATTAAAAGTAGATGATAGAATGCTTATGAAGCTAGATTGCCAACCAAAACATAGGAAGTGAAACCACAATGCAGAAAAATGAAAAGATAATGAAAGGAAATATGAAATGACCACAAAAGAGATCTGTTCCTGAGAGGCTCAGTAAATGCAAAAGTGGAATTAACCGGGTGACAACACTGTTTAATGTTTTTTATTTTCCATGGATATAAAGTGGAAGAAAGCTAATCAAAGATTTCTTAAAAAAGAAATCACAACCATAATTAGACCTCAAAAGTTTCCTCATCAATTGCCAACAGAAAACTACCACCAATGGAGCGCTACAATCAAGAGAGTAAGAGAAGAAATCAAACTTTTAGCAGAATCCTCTATGATCTTCTAAAGTGTACAGACAGTATAAATACAAATTTTACTTTCTGCACACACAGTAAGCTGACAATTACTGATTGAATCAACACTCTTCTGAGAATAGTTGAAGTAAAAATGAATAGTTCCCTTCAATTTTTTAATGCAAAAACCCACCTTCCCTTGCAATCCTTTACCAATCTTTACCCTTTCTCTTCAATCTAAAGGTCAGGATGCCAAAAATTTTCCCTGAACAACAGATTTAAATAGATTTTTACCAGTTGATTTTTTTCAACAGGATTTTTGACAGGAAGAAGATTATATGGGCCAAAAACACCCTCAAGTAACAGCCAGCTAAATGTGTATATCAATAGACTTATTTCCTAAATTTGTTTTTTCCAAACAGAGTGCAAATATGAAACAAAATTTTAGAAGAAGGCAACATCTTGGGAAAGAATGGAAATCGTTTTGTTAACAGGAATCAGTACCTGTAAACAAAGTGTTTTGTTTGGAACAAGTAAAAGAAAAGTTAAATGATTAATAAAATTATGTGTTTATCACCTCATCCTTGGTATCATTCTCTAACTTGAGACTGCTGGACTGAGATCTTTTTCTCTTCCCTTTAAAATTAGAGCAAAGGTAAAACATGAAATATCCCAAATAAAACAAACAACTTGCAAACTTGCAAAAATTAACCAAAAGCTACTAATCACTTGTAATATAAACCACCATAACTATAGGCCACACAAGTGAATATTGCTTTTTGCACACATTGACTGGCTAGCTTGGAAGTGAATAGTAAGTTTTATTATCCAACTACACTCCATTGAGTACAAATAACACCCAAGGTGAGTACAAATATCGCACAGCAATTTGTACTCCAGAGAACCAGTTAGACAGGTTCTCTCGCATCGGACAAGCAACAGATTGTATTAAAGTTACAAAAAATAAATGGGAGACAATTCAAATTATTGTTGTGATGACAAAGAGTGGGAATGGCCAGCCAATATTGATCCAAGTTTATTAGACAAATCAAATGAAGAAAAGCAGTTAGATGACGATAAAATTTCATCATTTATTGAAGAAAATAGAAACAGCAACACCACAACACTTCTGTCATGCACCCCCCATAAATAAATAACTATTTGGTGTGTTGGATAATTAATAACGTATTAGATGTTTTGGTGTGTCATATTGCTGAGTATTTATACTCCTTATTTGTATTTTGACGAGCCAGTAGGGCTCGTCAAAATAAGGTACAACTTGTAAAAATACTCAGTGATACTACACAACATAATGTCTACTAAATAAAGACATATTTATTCACCTTCCAGCAGCCAAAGAGACAAACTTGCAAACTAAGAGTTTAATTTCCAAGCATTTTTTTGGTATACTGAAAGGAAAAATCTCATTTTCTGGGTATCTATGTGGTATATAAAAAAACAATTATTCACCTTGAGGTCATGGAAAGTGGTGGATATCTGCCTCGCCGTTTTGCAGCTCGGTAAACATCCACCTTCATTCACCTCCATTCCAGTGAATAATTGTTACTTATTGAATTCCGCTTTACAAAGAAGAATGTAGCAACAACAGTATTACCTTGATATAGCAATCAATTCTTCCATCTAATTTACAAGGATATGTATCATGGTCAGTAAGGAAAATTATTAACTGGGTCTCAGGAATGAAAGAATCAAAGTTGCAATTACCTTTGTCTACAACATCCCAGACTTCCACCTTCACAATATCATCAGTGGCTGGAGACATCAATTTGGAAAACAAATTATCAGCAAATGTACAATTCTATAGTAACCAGTGTCATATAAAACAGACACAGAACAAAAATTATTTCTGACAACAAATCATTATGATGTATACATATTCAAAGTACGTAAAGAAACTGAGAAGATACATTTAAACTTGAGACTTTGTTAAAAGAGTGAGAAAAACACTCTCACTGGTAATTCAATATGCAGTGGATCTGCACTGGTATTTTAATATTTCAGCTTACTTCTGTAATTCCAGTGTATGCTTGCAACCTTTGTGTCAAGAGAAATTAAAAGATATTATTCATATTATTATCTTGCATTAAAAATCAAACAACATGTCTAATGCAACTTTTTTTAAGTTATCTACCAGGTCTTCAATTACAGATCAGACTCCCCTGCATTCGCTAAGGTTGTTCTATTTCAAAATATAAAAAATATATTTGGGACTGTAGGTCTACAGAGTGTTCATGGGTCAAGTGATCACCCTTGTTCCTCTTATTTAACTGCACTTTATTCAATAATCAAGATCTAGTATATTTACCATACAATACTTGTAATGAGTTATTTTACTTTCTCTTAAGAGAGTAGATAAGATCGAGAAAAAGGAAGTTCCTTATAGTGCGGTAATGCTAGGTGATGCTATGTAATGCCATGTAACACAATACACCACAAAAGTACTGATTGGTTTAGAAACCTTACACCCACCATTTCAACCAATCTGATGAAGAACCAAAATCAACTGCAGCTCAGTCATGTTCCCGCAATGATAATCACCTTCATAATTCTGATTGGTTGTTTTGATTTCTTTTATTAGATTTGCATTGCAACATTTAATTTAAGTACTACAAGAGATACCTGAATTTCATTTGTTGGAATGTACTGTTCATTGAATGGTCTTCCTTGAAGTCTTTGAAACAAACAGGACTTTCCAGTATTTCTGTCTCCTTTTATCACTATTTTCACTATAAAAGAGAAAAAAAAATTTAGTATGGGCGCTACTCACAGAAAACTTTTAAAAACACAGTTTGCATTTCTGCATTCCTGGACATGGCATAATCAATCAGCAGTGAGACAATTACACAATTGATTTGTTAACCCTTTCAGTCTACCATGATCTCTTTAGTTATTCTCCTAACTGTTTGCCATACAATCCTTGTGATGCTACTTTGGAGAATTTCGAGTTGGATCAACTAATAAACCCTTAGCTGATATTTAGCAATTATTCCAACAAGCGTGAGTGGAATAATTGTTTTATAAAAAAAAAACACCCCCTCGATATTGGATAAATCTTCTAGACTTTGTTTTTGTAAGAATAAACCGGATGTTACAATGTACAGATATTAGATTACGGTATATTGGCTCATATACCATCATGGCTTAGCCAATAAAAAGTCTTGAATTGCATTATCCAATGATCCAGTTTTTAATAATTTCCTTTATTCTCATCACTTGTCTGTTTGACATTGTATTGATGTTGTAAGGAGAAATTCTATCATGGTCACTCATGACAGTTAAAGGGTTAATAAAAGCTATGATTTTCTGTTATTTTCACAAATACAAATAATTATTACAATAGTCTGAAGTTTTAAACCCTGAGTGCAGCTGGCATCCAATTTCTCCAAACAATATCACTCCTGAATTAATCATTAAGGCCACGAGAATAAAGAAAATATTCACCACCTAGAGACACTATTGATTGCTTAACAACTTCTTCCAGTCAGCACCTTAGGAAATGTATAGAAAATAGTTTGGAGACTATCCCTACTGATGTTAGGGTTTAAAGAGTTCTAAACATCAATAATTTTGATATTGGATAATGGTGACCAGTAAACAACAATGATACTATAATCTTTCATGATGATGATAATAAACTCTATCACATAAATAAGCAAAATGCGTCTCATGTGTTCTTTACTGCAGTTTAATAATGTTGTTGACCTTTTTCTCAGCTGTACCTGTGGCGTGAAAAATTCTAGCTGTGGAACAAATTAAGGCTTTAATTATCGCTGCGAAATTTGATTTTTTCCTATTGCTTTGGTAAAACATTGATCTAAAAAATTTTTAATCTAACTGCTAATAGTGTATAGTGAAATTTTTGTATCGTTAATTTTGTTTCTTCTATACTGTTCAACAGTTTGTTTAGAAATATACGCATGTTTAGGCGAGTATCCTCTTGTTTTAGACACTGAATATTGTGATATTGAGACTGATTTTCGTCAATATGAATTCCTTTCAGTTTCTCCTTAGTCTGTTACTTTTGGTTTATTTGCTTCTACAATAACTATGATATTTAATTTTATGGGGGATTTTCACAGACACCATCTGGCCAAAGATCGAACACTCATTCTAATACAAATGATGAGGCAGGTAACATTAGCAGGTAAGGGGAATTGACACAGCCACCACATATCGAGGACACAATCATTATAATAGGCACTACGAGGAAAATAACATTGTAATCTAAATAACTTACTATTATACTGAACACCCCGAGCAAACTTTCGTTGTAACGCCTGGCCCATCGCCCGCACTCCCAATGGAGTGTCGAGTTTGGAATCTTCATTTCCCCCTTTTGCCCACTTCTTCAGCGCCCTGAACATTTTTAGATGGCGATGGTCGAGAGACCCTGTTATATTACAATCGCTTCACCGAGAACGATCATCCATGTTTTCTGAATGGAATACAATGGAACATAGCAAAAGTCATTGCCGTCAATTCGTGGCCAAGATGGTGGCTGGCTTGGTTACCTAGCCAAAACATTTGTGCATTTCACTAAGTATGCTGGGACATATGATTTTGTCACGCAGTCACACACCTCATCTCCAGAGGTGCCACCTCCATCGAACCCTCAACAAGGTGTTTTAGAAAACTAAGCCATGGATCGCGTTTTGGGAAGCCCATTGGTAAGTTCAATTTCATATTTCGCCGAAAAAAAAGGAAAAAGTCATTTGACTTTCCATTTCTGAAAGTGTAGTTTACGATCGATTTTCTGAATTGGTAGAGGTGGCCTGTTTAGCCTGATAATTTTTTCGGACGGAGAAAATGATCATGAGCTCGGAAATAAATCGAATATTTTCATCAACAACCAAAGATAGAAGCTTGCGATGCCTACCCTGCGAACCAACCCTTAAAAAGGCGTTTGGAGGCCGCATGGCGTTAGTAATTAGATACAGTAGCCTTAGCTTTTGTTGCAATTTGCAACTTATGATCCACATTTGAATTTCTGTGGCTCAGTGGCGGTGCAGTGGAGAGCAAAATCCGAAGTTATAGAATTAGATGCCTTCTTGGGACCTTCAATTTTCTCTTTGTCCCAAACTTGGGGCAAGACGGGAAGGAACATTCTTCTTCATTCTGATTCAAGCGACTGCGCGAAGTATTTCTTGAATACTGCAACTCGGAACCTCCACTGATGTTCAGAACTCTCGATACAATGAAATCAAACAAGGGATGCAATATTGCAAACTAACCCTTTGACCTCAAGAGTGACTGGCATCTAATTTCTTCTTTCAACATCATCCCCCTCGAATCACACCCAAGGTCAAAATCGTAAAGGAAATGATCACCGGCTAGAGAAGCTCTTGATTATGAAACAAATTCTCCTTGTCAGCACCTTGGGAAATGTTTAGAGAGCAGTATGGGGAATATGCACACTGATTTAAGCGTGTAGAAGGATAAATAAAGCCAATCAATTACCGTGTCTGTGATCTGACGTTACACGACCTGAAACCCCTGAGCCGTCTACCTGTGCGTGCAGCCAAAAGCACGAACAAAGGAACTTCCACTGTACTCCTCTTTATCCTTTCTGCTTCATTTGCTTCAGCTTTGTCTTGAAATGTCAATTCAACTTTACCCGGACTCAAGAAATTTTCATTAATTCCAGTTGGAAGTCAGTCATCAGTTTCACATAGGTATCAAAGTAGTTTACCTTTGGAATCCATCAGTGTCTAATCATTAGATAACAAGATGCGTTCATACAGGCCCCTTAAGGGTCATATTGGAATGAGATTTCAAAGAAGTCAGGTCACGGTTTGTGAAACAAACCACTGTGACAAACTTCTGTCTAATTTCCCATAACTTCTGTGCCTCAGAAGTTATGGGAAATTAATTCTGCTCTTGTGGGGTCAAGTGGGCCACTCCCTCCCCTGGAGCTAGTCCCAGATTCCTTGTGGTGAAGCTATTCAGAAGTAATGTTACCTTTGCATTTGGTGCTAATCATAAAGGGGGTAATTCTCTAAAGAAACTGTGATATTGCGTTGGTGGTGGTAGTGGTGGTGGGGGGGGGGGGGGGGTTTGCGGGTATAACAAGATAACCTGGTTTTGTCAACTGAGTTGACAAAGTTGACGTTTCGAGCGTTAGCTCTTAGTCAGAGCGAAAAGAGGAATTGGTTGCGATGGCAAATTTACATTATTAACTTAATCGATAAAACCAAATATGAAATTATGTAGTTCTTGGTAAATTACTCTTCAGCTTTCGTAAGTTTGACTTGAAGTTGGCTAGTGCCCACTGGCCTGATAGAGAGAGGCGCTGTAGGAGTAGAGTGCCTTGGCCAAGAGCAAAACATGATGACCTGGTCAAGTCTCAAACCAAAATCCCTTGACTCGCAGTCCGGCGCGCTAACAAACACACCCCCGCGTCTCCCAGCTGCTGAAGTTGACACAAAAGAAATCCCCGGATTGAATTGCAAACTCATATTGAAAACAAAACCTCATTAAAATTAACTTTCAACGCACTTTAAAACACGCCTACTACAAAACTAGTTTCGTACACAGACCTCTTCAGTTGTATGCGATGTTGCAAACTGAAGCGCATTTTTTGATTGCCAATATCGTCTTTCTTCGAGTGAGCGCCTCGGTGCTTTTTAAAATTTTGCCTAAGAAGAGCGACTTTTATTTGACAGAGGGTGCTTAATCGAGGGGGGTTGGGTGAGGACGTCTATTAAATTAGCGTAGCAATCGGAAAAATATCAAAAGAACAAGAAAGAACAGATAACTCACATAAACGAACTCTGCAAGCACGTGGAAGGTGGGGAATGGGAATTGGGAGGAAGGGGAAGGAGGGAGGGGGAAAGGGGAGATTGGGATGGGGGGGGATTTTAACTTAAATACAGCACACACTTCAGCTCCCTTGCTGTACCCTAGCCGTTTATCGGCTGTGCGCTAATCACTATTGAATGTTCCTCCGATATGGGCCGCTAAGCTCGATCGTTTGCGATGGTCTTCTTGCCTTTATATCTAAATTTTTTTACAAACTCTTTTGTATATATTTTAGCTGTCATTGAAGAGTCTTGCCTTGCGTGCGTTGGCCACACCACTCAAAGAAAGCGGCCTGAGCTCTCTACACGCAGCTTGTATTGAGGGGGACATCGAGACTGTCCAGACCATTTTGGATTGCAGTCCAGACAAACTTTACAGTGCCATAGCTCTAAGCATCAAGGTTGCTCCAAATGCATCAAATTTCGGTGGCAAATCTATTTTGACAGCCTTGAGGCAGCTAGACTCTTCACAGCATAAACAGATAAGCGAACTTGTAGAAAATGTCACAAGGAGAGTCCAAGTTCAGTCTCTCCTCTCCTTAGCCGCTATGGAGGGACATTCTGGACATCTTCGATGGTTGCTAGATTTAGGTGAATATGTCAATTCTAGGTTGCCTGAGAGCAGCTGGATTGGAGACAATCCAAGTCCTCTAATGCTTGCAACCAGGTTCAACAAAGGAGAAGTTATAGGTTTTCTCATCAAGAATGGTGCCTTTCTTGAATTTCGAGATGGTGACGGTTTTACTCCTGTTCTTTATGCTGTAATGGGTGGTAATGTAAGAAATGTACAGCACTTAATAGAGTTTGGAGCTGATGTTTTCAAGACAGGCTTTGAGGATGAAACGGCGATGCATCTGGCGGCAACGAATGGTCACATAGAGGTAATAAAACTTCTGCTTGAGTATAATATTGACGTAAACGTCTGTGATCGGGAACTTAGAACTCCATTAATGTTGGCAGCAGGAGGGGGCCATTTAGAAGCCACTCGTTTACTGATTGACAATGGAGCAGATGTATATAGTTGGGACGAGCACAGTGGTAGCGCTCTAGATTATGCCGCTATAGGAGGCCACACGAATGTTGTGCAGTTTCTTCTCTCAAAAGGTGGCCCAAGGATGGCTGAAATGAGAAACAATGCTCTGACTCTGGCGTCTAGTCTCGAGTTAATTAGATTTCTTGTTGAAGACGGGGCCGACGTAAACGCAAGGCACCGTAGCGGTGATACACTTTTACATGATTCTGCCGCAAATGGTCATTGTGAGACAATCAATTACCTTTTAGATCACGGTGCAAACGTTAACGCAGAAATTGGGATGACTAAAGGTGATGCACCAATTTGGTCTGCTTTGACTTGCGGTCAAGCTGAGGCTGCAAGGATTTTAATCCAAAGAGGGTCCAATCCAGATTTTCTTGACCACTCCTACCTTTTTATAGCTGCTCGACAAGGCTTTGTAGATGTTTTGACCCTCCTTCTTGACCAGGGTTTGCCTGTGGATGCCCCCGACGTACACTGCAAAGAAACAGCTTTGTTTGCAGCTGCTAGGGAAGGTAACTTTGAAGCAGTCAAAGTTCTTTTGGACCGAGGTGCTGACGTAAATGGTCGTGTTTGTACCATGCACGATGATGATGGCACTCGCGACCACGAGGAAGAAGAAAACAAATATGATGACTATGGCAGCAACAGTGATTATGATTCTGACTCGTATTGCACGCCTGGTCATGCCATAACTCCCTTGTACTGCGCCTTAAAGACAGGAAATGGAGAAATTGCTAAGCTTCTGATAGACAGAGGAGCAGACACTTCCACTCCGGAGAGTGCGTCAAGCTCACTTGTATCATACGCTGCCAAGTACAATTTTAAAAACATTGTTGACATACTTGGCGGAATCAATCTCTCTGATGATAGTAATGTTTTTCGCGAGATCGAAGAAGACGAGACCTCACTGAAATCAAAAGCTCTTATTGGAGAAGTTGACTCGGTGCGTTCTATTCTAAAAGCGGGTATGGATGTTAATGTAAAGGACATCAATGGGGACACCGTCCTCGCTTGTGTTCTTGATAGTACAAACAATTCATCCCGCACCATGGAAATCATGAAAGTCCTTCTCGAGTTTGGAGCTGATGTTAATACCAAGAATGACAGATGGGAGACACCTCTTCTCTTAGCTGTTAGAACGAATTTAGAAAGCGTTGCTGAACTTCTTCTTGAACTAGGATGCGACGCGAAGGCTAGAGACTTGGACTCGTGTTCTCCTCTTCACCACGCTGCCCAAAATGACAACGGTAAACTGACAGAGATGTTACTTCAGTACGGTTCAGATGCTAGTTTGAAGACTGATCGAGACGAAATGACGCCTTTGCACATGGCCGTGAGGTCAAACAGCTACCACGCTGCATGCATCTTGTTAAAGCACGGTTCTGACTTGGAAGTCGCAAATTCATCAGGTCGAACGGTCCTAGCTGTAGCAGTAGAGAATGGTTGTTGTGCCCTAGCTCACGAATTACTCAGAAGAGGATGTAATGTCCACGCAAAGGACAATGAGGGCAAGACTCCTCTAATAATAGCTGTTGAGAATCTACACAGAATTTTCGATGAAGAAATAAGCGTGGTTAAAATTCTGCTGGAGCATGGTTGCTCTGTAAATGCCGCCGACAGATATGGGAGATCCGCCTTTCACTATGTTTTCGCAAAGATAGACATCGTGATCGATGGGCAAGGTCCGCTAGCATTGTTTCCCGACAGGACAGAGCTTGGTAATCTACTTTTACACAATGGTGGATGGCTTAATCTCCGGGACAGAAATGGTGAGACGCCGTTGCATTTTGCAGCAACAGTGGGCAACACAGCCAATGTAGAGTGGCTAATCCAGCAAGGGGCAGACGTGGGAGCATTAGATATGGAGAATCGCACCCCGCTTTTTGCAGCTGCATATGGCGGTTGCAAGGACAACATTGAGATGCTGATTCGACATGGTGCTGACGTTACGTTAGCGGACAACATGGGCTGGATACCTTTGCACTTATATGCGTCAAAAGGTAACCAGCGACCATTCGATGATCTTGCTGTAGAGGCTCTGCTGCATGGAAGTGACATAAACACCGTTGACAAAAAAGGAAGAAGTGCTCTTCACCTTGCAGCCAAATACGGAAACGTGCCTATGATTGATCATCTAATGCGTCATGGATGCAACGTAAATGTGAAAGACTTTCGAGGAGAGACAGTTCTAGGAACATTTGACAGAGGCCCTCGAAATCATTCAGATGAGGTCATTTTGCAAACTTATCTGAGTAACGGAGGTGATGTACATGCTGTTGATTCGTACGGCCGCACAATCCTTCACATTGCCTCAGCTCATGATTGTGGATTGGAGCTCTTGGACAATCTCTTGAAACAAGGACTAGATATCGAGGCAAGGGACAAAACTGGACAAACCCCCCTTCACCGAGCAGCATCGTCGTCAGATCCAAGAAACGTTCAGCGACTTGTTGAAAGAGGAGCAGATCTGCATGTTGTTGATAACAGAGGTCAGACACCCCTTTTAGCCAACATAACTAGTTCTGAATCCTGGGAAGTCTGTCATGAGATTGATTGTTCTGTTACCAGGGCATTATTACAACTTGGAAGCGACGTGAACAAAACGGACATTAATGGCAACACGGTTCTTCATTTTCCTCTCGCTTATAGAAACTCCGAGGAGGTTCTCGAGCTAATGGTTGAAAATTTTGTAAACCTTAATGCAATCAACGTTCATGGCCGAACGCCTCTTCATCAGGCAATTCACGAAAGATGCCCCACACCCCATGTAGTGGTTCTTTTAAAATCTGGGGCGAGTGTGCATTGTCGTGACAAGGAAGGAAACACGCCGCTTCACACAGCACTTGCTCGTGGACCAGGCATGGAGGGCGTTGCGAAGGTGTTACTTAAGGAACGAAGTGATGTGAACGCTGTTAACTTGCAAGGAGAAACATGTCTGCACACAGCAGCCTACTTTTCATCCCAAGTACTCTTGGAAAAAATCATTCGGCGAGGAGGGCAAGTAAATGCTGCGGACAACCGGGGCCTTACTCCCCTTCATCTTGCAAGTTTGCAGTCGCACCCTTGGAGGAAGGTAGCCCATGTGTTTTTAGTCCATGGAAGTGACCCCGAAGCTGTAGATCACGAAGGCCGCACCCCTTTGCATTTAGCTTGCTTTTCGGGGAACAAAGCAGCCGCCTCAGTTTTGATAAAGCATAAGTGGTAAGAGTTGCATTCGCCTTTGGTTAGTTGTAGGATTTATTTGGTTCAGTTCCTCTAACGTAAACGTTTCAGCCACTGAGGTAATCCGAGTCTGGAGGTTACCTTAATACCAAACAAGTATTTCTTTGAATTCCTGGAATATAACATTCAAATTATTCTTGCTATTTTAAAATACTATCAAGCTAACTGGTAATGACAATTTAGGTAATTCATGAACTGACTAGGGGGGTAATACTGGTTTTAAACCAAAAGGGTTTGTCTCAGAAATATATTTTACTCAAAATGTTACGATGAGCAAAACTTACTGGATCGAGTTAAGCATTTAGAAAGGCTTAGAAACGACAGATCTGATCTTACAATGAGCTTACATGCAAGTGGATCAATTAACTTTTAGTTCTTTCGCTTTATTTTTTACAGCAACCTTAAGGCTCGAGACAAAAGAGGCTGAACACCACTTCACATTTGCTCGGTATTTGACCAGAAACCTATCGCACGGCTACTTCTTGAACATGGTGCAGATGTCGAGGCTCTAGACAATGAAGGAAGTACTACACTTCATCTTGGTGCAGCTTTCAGTGATGTTCACATGGTTTGTCTGCTTTTGGAAAACGGAGCAAATATCAACACGTGTGACTCAGAAGGAGGAACCGCACTTCACACAGCTGCTGCTCTTGGTAAGATGAAAATCGCGCGAGCCCTGATTGATGCAGGAAGTGATGTCAATGCGCTTGATAATTATAGTCACTCACCATTGCATGTGTCTGCGGGCTCTGGCCACGTGGATATAGTACGTCTGTTAGTAGTTAGCGGAGCGGAAGTGAACATTTTGGACAAAGATGGGCTTACACCAGCTGGATGTGCCAGCCTGTTTGCTCATGAGAACGTGACTGAGTATCTTAAAGAAAGAGTAGAAGAACACAGCTGCCCGTGAACAAAACTATTGGTTAATTCCTTGACTTTTAATTAGACTTGTAAAGTTCTAAGACCAAGTCACACTTACAAATGTACGTTATCGACTGAGACAAGGTCTATTTCTGGCGTTTTTATGGACTGGACTGAATTTGGAGACATGATTTATGACTGAGTCCAGAAAAAACGATTTGCGTTTGTACTGCTATTATATTGCTATGCTTCATATTGCGATAATAGTTGGCTGTGATCGTTGTTGTTGAAGTGATTTAAATTCTCATTTTCCTCTTATTTTATTTAAATTTTTGTTAGTGCAGTAACCAATAGCTCACATCCGAATTACCTTTGGGCCTCTTTTTCAAAGCGAGTCCTACTGCTCATCCTTTTATATGATTATAAGTTCTCGTTCACATGCAAATTAAACTCACTTTCATACGAATGGTTGAGCACTAGGCCTTGTTTTGAAAAAGAGGCCAAAGGTAATTGGAAATGGCCGATAAATTATCTTCCTTAGTACGCTGACCCTTTGTCTCTTCATTTAAATGAGTATAGCTAGCTAGTCACGTAACACGTATTTTTTCGCAGAATTTCTCACTTGCGTTAGAAGGACCTCTGCACACGCTGGTTCTACAGACTTGGACTGTATACTTTCGGTTAACTTGACTTTACTCTTCGCAATCCAACGTTCCGTTCTACGACCTATCTCAATCCCATCTTTTTTTTAAAGTTACAAAAATGCTGTGTTTTATAAGCTACGGATATCCACACCCAGATACGTAAGTCTGGAGTGGAGAGATAATTTAAGCTAACTTGACAAAGTTCCAGCTTTGTTTTACACATTCTTCAATGATTCGTGGCCACAAATTTCCTGTTACATCGGCTTGCTCGACAATCAGTGTTAATCTATGCATGCGGTTTTACTGGCGACTATTTTATTGAATACATCATTGTTTGTGAAGGCTCGATCATACTACGCCGGTTAATACTTCCTTTGACATTCCATAAATCAATGTTAGCGACAAGAAATAATAGCTTACTTAATCAACTTCTAAACATACCGAAACAGGGAAACTTTATTATGAGCACGTGCAAACTTTACGCGATATATTTTTCACGCTTATTTGTTGTAATCGAAGATAATTACTATTCTTTGATTGGAAACCTTTTTGCATTTAAGATACTTGTCAGTTATTGTAACGTACTTTTTTTGTATTTTTTATCAATGTATTCTTGCTAGATTGGGTTATTCAGTTGTACGTTAAACCCCTGCTCGCCTCGAATAGCTTGGCTAACTGCAAGCAGTGTTCATCTCAATTTGCTTTTCAAAGTAGATTTAAACTTTAAATGAATTTGCAATAGTACACTTGCTACAAACTTGCAGTGAAATTGCAAACTACTACTAGAAGTTTCTTGGAAGTGACGAGGAACATAAACCAATAATTAGTCGCGGTGTTTTGAAGGAGCACGACTTTTTTTGATAGCTCTAAAAACAAATTGGTAAACCAAAAGAAAACCACTGAAAGATTCCTTGAACAAATGAAGCTATTTTCGCGAATGATCATGAAAAAAAACTGAAGCGATCTGTCAGCCTTTTCTCTAGCGGTAACTTGTTTTATCAATCCCTCAGTTAGCGAAAAAACAAAATAACAAATATAATAATTCGGGAAATTAGGATTTTAATTGTTAAAATCAACATTTTTAATTACAAGGGTGTACTCTCTTAAAGTACAAAAGTGAATTTTATCGAATAAAGCTAACGATTACAGCCTTACAGCATTACAAATCATTTTATCTTGACAAGATTGAAAAAAAAACTTGCATCAAAACAAAGTACCAAAAGGACCATGTCGCAACCTGAAAGAAATATAAAATCCAGACAACATTAGTGAAGGGGGGAAACGCAATTGCTTATGGACTCTTTCCTATCTCAAACTGGTTTCATAATTTTTTTTATTTCAAAGCACTGATATCTTTGATAATTGAGGCACGTCGTGGAACGCAGTACTCAGTGAACGAAATCACATGAGCAGATAAGATTCGGTGTTTCAAAAGCGTATAACTTTTTTTGGTAAAGCTCAGAAAAAGCGGTAAATCAACAGGAAACCCGTACTAGAACATTCCTTTTCCTTTTATATGTTTTTTTTTTTCGTTTCACAGCTTTAATGAACGTATCAATTTATTGGCGTGACAGCGGTTGTTTCTTATGCCTTTCTTTGACAATTTACGGGGAAATTGGAGCTGCTGACCAAAACTGATCCACTTGCGAGTGCCTTTCGTTTGACCACTGTGTTGTTTCATTGCGCCGGCGATCCTATTTCGCGGGCGCACCGAAACACTCACGCCAGGGGACTGATCCTAATCACATCACAGGTTTTTTAGGTTTGTGTCCTATAAAATAAGGTATCCAATGAATACTCAATGATAACCCAAATAGGTTTGAGTACGCAGTATCAATGATAACCCAAATAGTTTTGAGTACGTCCATAGTTATTATGCAGCATTATAGTCTATGGTTTATTATCATTATTATTATTATTACTATTACTATTATTATTACTATTATTATTATTATCATTATTTTATCACCATTGATTGTATGTCGTCGCAATCTGATTGACCAAATTGCGGTTTTCGATAAGAATACAGAGAATGCTGCTTGCGTCAACGTGTCACGCAACCTGTCACGCACTGAAAGAACCATTTCATTTCACGTCCGGTCGATGTTGCGGTAAAAAACAAATCGACAGTGGTTTAGCGTGGTCTGCACTCTTACCGACAACTATATTCGTTATCACATCGTTAAAACTTTATTGCAGACTCACGAGACGCAGTCGAGTTAGCACAACATTTTGAGCACTATGATGACAAGAATCTTCCCTTTAGGACACATATTGGACCAAAGTATGTTTCAAAAGATGTGGAGAACTTCTACCTGATGAGTTTGAGTTTTCTCATCATCTATCTGCTGGAAAATGTATGGATATTTTAGAGATAAGCTACATGTCAATCACTTTCCGGAGTTTAAGGGTTAACAAAGACCAAGCGATATTTGCTATCTTAAATCTGCCATGGAAACGTAATAAATGATGCTCTACCAGTCCTATTACTCAAGAGCAACAAGCTGTCTAATAGGTCAAACTAGGGGAAAAAGGGCCTGGGGACAAGGTTGGGGCTGCCTGTGGTGTAAGTGACAAGAAAGCGACGAAGAGGATGTTACCTCGTTTTCATGGTGAGGCGAACGAATTCTTTCACTGGTGTATCAATATTTAGAGCGTGAAAGGTAATATTCTCTCTTCACTAGAGTTAATCCATACCTAACTGCATCGTTCAGGATGACAAGTCGCCGAGCATAGCGTGTCTGTAAAAAATTCATAGTTGCCTCTGTCAACATAATGCACGATCTTATCAGAAGCACACATCCGTATCCATTTTCGACAGTAGCCCCCGGCCCCTGCCATGTCTTCACAGAGTCCCTTACGGTATAAGAGGGCTGAAAAATATAAAAATTAGAGATATAGGTGTATAAAAAAAAAAATATATATATATGTTGATTTGTAGACTGCTTAAAAAAATAACAGTAAATTTACTATGACAATGCAAAGGAGAAATTAAAGCGGAAAGATACCCGCATTTAAATCTAACTGCACTTCTTTATTATTTTTTAAGTAATTGTTTTAGACAAAATTTCATACGACAATAGCATGAAACTGTAGGATACTGTCTTGGCTGGAAGAAAAGAAGTACACAGTCAAAGACTGCATGTAGCTACTTTTTAGCACAACTTTTGCAGCATTGAAAAGAACTAGAGGTCGTGCAATGACGCTACAAGGTGGTTACAGAATAATTGTCTCACATGCAAAAGAGAAAACCTGCAGCATCCCACGTATTTATAAGTACCCTGTTCCAAAAGAGAAAGACGATTCAAGAATATATTGTCGAATTGACATTCCACCAATAATTAAATGGTAAAAGATAATAATATTTAAATGAAAATAATGATAACAGCAGTAAAATTATAATAATTTAAACTGCCCCTGAGACGAAAATTGATCATTTTATTTTGAGCTAATTTGTTTACAGAATGTTGAATTAAATCAAATTAAAACTCCTTTTCGCCATTAAAAACTCAAAACAAACCTCCAACGACCAATTTTTACCGCTTCAAAGTCGTCCAAAGATCGTTCGCCATTCCTGAAAACATGTTCCAGCTGAGTCCTCAATCGTACAGCAGAAAACGTAATCGTGACGTCAAAGGTTCAACAAACTTATGCTTCGCTTTCTTACAACTCACTTAGTTCGCTACACAGAGAATCACATATATTACTTTTTTGAGATCTCTTTCGCTGTCGGTTGTGAAATGTCGACTTTCTCTGACGACGAATTGTTCCAGAAATCATCTGAAGTATCAAAGGATAGATTTACGTCGGCAAACAATGAATTTTCGTAGAAAAAAAAAAAGAGTAAAAAGACGAAGTCGACATCGTCTGATAACAGGAAAAACAGTGAGGGCAAAGCAAGCCTAAAACGGCAGAAATCGCCAAAAAAATACAACGTACGCACAAGAGTTGAGTCAGTTTTATCAATTTTAAGTTTAAAATGTTCATAACTCGGAATACTTAGTGTTGTAAATGAACCATATTTCGTTACCCATACCATTCCTTATAACGCACTCAAATTCTCAACGGTTTCTCGCGTTACTTAATACAGCGTCACACAACGCGTGATCCTTTCAAGAAATAATCTTTCGTTTTTCCTCGAGACTTGAGCTTGGGATGCCTGTGGCTCGCATCGTAAATTTAGCGGCCCTTTTCGGCGAAAGTCGCTGATTCAAAAAGGAATATTCTCTCTTTTCAACGAAAAATAACTTTTCTTAAAACATATATAATGTGCAGATCACGTCTATTGAGATATTACCTCAGGGAAAAGGGTCGGGTCGCACTGGAGCGAATTCTTTGCACTTTCTAAATTTTTGCGGTGGTCGCATCAAACTTAAATCCTATGACCCAAAATTCACTGATTGATTCATATGTCATATGTCATATGTCATATGTCAAAAATCCATCTCATTGTAAAAAGAAACAGAAAAATATCTCGCGAAATGCCAGGGTGGAACGGATCCTTTTTTTTTTTTTTTCAGCTGATCTTTTGCGTTTTGCTCGACGCTAGCGCTACTTGTGCTGGCTTCAATACTTGCAACGGAAGGAGGATTTCTCCTTCGAGTCACGTGTTTTCTACTTTACTACCAGTTTTACCGGACCCGGGTACGATTCATAAACATTTGAATAAAAGCGACGCCCAAATTCGTGGACCAGGAAAATCCTGCTATCGCACGCCAAACTAGACGAGTGGACTAAAATCTTTTCTCTCCCGATGAAATTTTATTCGGAAATATTTTGCATATCGTGAGAGCTGAGTGGTTAAAAAGAAACATGACTGGTTTTTGTTTTGGCTAAAATTTGGAGGCCTCAGAGCCAGGACATCGCGGTCTTTGAAGATTAGCGAACATTTGGCGATTTGCAAAAATTTTCAAACTGGGGGTCGCGCTTATTTTACCTTAGTTGTTGACAGATTTTTCACATAGAAAAACAAAAAAGGTTCTAGTGCGACAATTATGCCTCGGTGGATGCCACTGTGTTTGAGATGTTTATCGTCTTTGGTAGTGTCACGTACGGCAAGAATTGAAAATATTATATCGTCGGTTCTGCATAAATATGTTGATTTAAACGGTAAAATGCTCTCTCCTCAAAAAACAAAAAAAAAATTCCTTTACCTTTTATGATGCACCGATCACACCTATTAAGATATTTCTGCAAGGAAAACTTCTCTTTTAATCGTGCACAATTCTGAACTGATTGTGAGATGTTAATCACTTTCTGCTGTCTTTCATAGTTTCACGGCAAGTTCTTGTAGTGTCACGACCTGTCACGGCAAGCACTGAAAAGATTATACCTTCGAATCTATATAATTTGCCGAATTAAACGGTAAATAGTTCTTTAAAAGAAAAAAAATATTCCTTGAATTCCACGATGCACCAATCTAACATACTAAGATATTGGCAAGAAAAAACTTTTGTTTTTAAATCGCCCGCAATCCTAAAATGATTGTGAGATGCTTATCGTCTAATGCTACCTTCCCAAAGTTTCATGAGGAGAACTGAAAATATAATGTGCTAGTGGCTATAAGCCAGACATCACAAAAAGTAAGAACTCAAGTGTGTATCGAGTGGAAACGTTGCACTTCTAAGATACTCCGAAAAAACTAATAAGTTATAACTGTCGGGTCAAAATATTGGGTCAAGATCCGAATTCTATTGTTACACTCACTCACTCACTCATTCATCGCGACAGCATAGGTGGCTTCGCCTCCTGTAGGAGGCAGTAGCCACAAAAAAAAAAAATTCTAGAATACCTATGGCCAACTGGTAGATTACAATGATCTGAAAATGAAACTTATTTGTGAATTTTGAAGCAAACCTCGCCTTGTAAAGACTTAAGTGATTGAAAGAACTTCAAAAAAGTCTTGAGTTTTTTTTTGCCCTCACCTCGTGACTTTGCTCGGAAGCTTCCAGGTAGTCACAAAGAAAGGTAGAATGATGGTAACTATCTATCTCCGCAGAATGTTAAATGCATACCTCAGGCGGTCTACAAAAATAGTACCAAATATTTTCCAGCGTTTATCGAATGTCCGTTTGCAAAATTTATAAAATTTGGAGGCTGCGATCTAAATCTTATTTCGCCTGCACAAGCCAAATGATATTATTTTCCATCCCTATGTCAAATTCGGCCTCACAGTCTCTCAATAAATATTTGCAATATCTTTTCCCGCTTGCATCTGTTTTGAATTTTGATCATTGATGGTGGCCTGTAACTCATGCTAACCAGGTCACTTTTGTTTCCGTCTTTCTTTTTAATTTTCTTGGTCAACGTCGACTAAATCGCGTGATCTGATGTTTTCCCTACTCAATGTTCCTCTTGGCAATTTGTGCCTCGCTTTGAAAGACTTTCCCTTCCAGAAAAGGCCAGGTTACGCTACCCAATAACGCTTTTACATGCGAATGCATAAGAAAAGGAATAGCGCCTTCCTTACCATCACGTCGAGCAATGTACTCATCAGGGGTCTCGTCCATCATTGGCTTTAGATCTGTTTCTAGGGAAAGGAGAACTTTTAAGTTTCAAAACGTAAACAAACAAACAAACAGACAAAAAACCAACAACAAGAGCCTCGCATATCTGCACAATGGCAAGTAATACGCGCGTGTGAGAGGAGGCACGAAAAAGTTATAAATTTTCTTCCTTTTCCGCCCTCCTCTGATTATTATTATATATAACCCACTCCATCCTTTTTTCGTTGTACTTTACCTAGACGTCGACGTATGTATGCTTCCGGATGCTCGTCCATCCTCGGCCCTGTGCATGAAAATGAATTAGAAATATTAGACTAGTAATGATAATAATGAGGATAACAATGTTAATAATGATAATTATTAAAAACTGGATCATTGGATAACGCAATTCAAGACTTTTCATTGGCTTAGCCATTATGGTATATGAGCCAATATACCATAAACTACGATATGGTAAGCGTATGCTTAAGCTTAAAATTGAAAGGGAGCTAAAAATTTAATAAAATTTAATAATTTAATGTAGCGTTTTTAATAAAACATTTATTCCACTCGCGTTTGTTGGATATGAGATGATTATAGCCAACTCGGCGCTACGCGCCTCGTTGGCTATCTATTATCTCATATCCAACGCGCGCTCGTGGAATAATTGTTAATTATACGTGTCACGGCAAAAGGAAAGTTTTTGATTTGAAAAAAAAATACATTTCTCTGCAAATAATTCATCGACAAAGTTATACAGATGTCGACCAAGAGAATATGAACTGATGTCGATGCTCTGCAAGAGGTATGGTTGCTAGCGGAGCAGACCACCCTCTGAGCGAACGAAAGTAAAAAACGCGCGCGAGAAAGCAGATACACTTAAACGCGCGTGGCGTCTCCCTCGCACTTGCCGGTTATTGTCTTTCGCGTCTGACGATTGATCAAGCGCGCGGTAAAAACAAAACTAATTAAAAAAATACCTTTAAACTATCGTTACCACTGGGTCACGACTTAACATCTGCGTTTGAATGCTATTATGTTTCAGAACATAGTATTTGAAGAACACCGATATACACAACGTAAAGCGGGGGTTAAGGGATCGGGAGAATAAGAGGGTGGAATTGTGCCATGGAGACCTCCTTCTGTTGGATTTTGGAGTACGCTTTCCAGGTCCTCAAACCCCGAAAAAATCCCGACATTTCGTCTCGTTTAGTTTGCTACCTTTCGAGACAATGTGTGATAGACTATGACATCTAATGAAGCTACATCTAGTATATTCAGAAATAATGTAAAGCATGTAATTTCTACTTGTTGCTAGTGCTGCACACTCCACGCACGCCCTGACAATATTCACGTCCTGTTCAAAACGTCGGTCCTGTTAAAAGACAGCCTTTTCAAGATTACTGAAAACATAGCCTGTTTGTTTACGCAAAGGGGAGAAATGCTCTTGTCATCGCAAGATACTACATTTGATGTACTTACGCATGTCCAGTCTCCGAAAAAGATCTCGCCCGTACAGCGGATTAGCCTCAATTTGCATCACAAACACAAGAGCACTGATGAAGAAGAAAACTTTCGCACTCATCTTCGTCTCTGTATGTTAGACTTTTCAAGGATCCTTCAGTTTTGCAAAGATGTACTCTCGGCGACGCTGCGAGGTAAATGACGCATCAAACCTGCAGATGATACTTTATAAGTAATTAAGGTAATCAGTATTGTAAACAATGAACCTTTAAAATTCTTCACTCTTCCCACGCGATGGCTTTAATCTAAATGTTACTTCCTTTCAGGGTGTGGCCTGATATCAGGTATGCACAAACATTTTGTTTCCCCTTATAGCTCGATCAGTTCATGTGAAACTATAGGAATCAAAAACTCCAGCCAAGGCTCGTAGAAAGGATATGTCTCAAGCCATCTTCATAACAGTGTTGCGCAGTTTGAGCTGATGCATTTCCAAAGAGGTTTTTCGAGAAACAACAACAGTGATAACGGAACAAACAGAATGTTGAATTCCGATGGTATATCTACCCTCAAGGGTTTCTTATCTGGAACTTTAATCCTCTTGCTCTGGTTTTACTTTGTTGTGACAAAGTTAGTACTACTTACTATGGTCGTGAACACTTTATATGTGGAAGCACTGAAATGCCATTGTTGTTTTATTAGCATATGTTTTCTCCCTGCCGGCCCTCGTTTGCAATAGTCAATATGGTAAAAGTTTTTGTTATTTATCAGGATGATATTAATTTAGGTACTCGGGTTTGCATATTTCTTACATCTCTTACCTCATGTTATGTTTTCAGAAGACAAAACAATCGGATGAAACTATTGACTTCAAACCGCACTAAACCCGACGTAAAATATCCCTCTTGGGAGATAACGTTACAATAATATCCTGGAAATCTCTGATACCGGCGCCAAATTCTGTTCATGGATTATCTGCTTCCAGTTAAAGAGCCTTTGATATCCCATCGTCATCTTGAATATCGCCATAACTGACTGCAAAATCACTAGAGGTTCTTCTGTTTAAGATATATCCTTTTTGGGCGCCTATTGTTAGGAACTTTATAAACAGACGCTCCGCTGTGTTTGTTTGCGGAGGCTTTTGAAATGGGAGACAAACCTTTGACAAAGACTCATTAACTACTTAGGAGGCTATATGTTGTATCTTTATCGTGTTTCGGCCCATAACTGTCAAAATAAAATACTCTCCTTTGTTTCTCGATTGTCTTGGCTGTAGCCAGACCATTCTTTTTTTTTTTTTGTTTTTTTGTTTTTTTTTCCAGTCTATCTTTTCGTCGAGGGTAAAGGGTCGAGGGTTTCATGTCCAGGCCAAGGGTACAAATGTGGAGGATCGAGGGTACCTTTCTTTAATTAATAAAGAAAAATTAAACCGAATTTTACTAAAATAATTAAAGAAAAAAAAAATTTTTTTAAGATACGGATTACCCCGAAAATATAGCGAGTGGGGGAGGGGTGAGATAGTGAATAGCACGTGGACATCCCAGTTCGTTTTTAAAAACCTGATCAGTTTTCAAAGAATCAAATTAAGAACCCACAGGAAGCCCATATTCGATCATAAATCTGGCTAGATTTCCCGTGTTTCTGTAACATCACGAAGCGAAAAACTGTGACCAACTGAAAAAGCGAAGAAAAAGCTAGCGCGATGTCTTCACAACATGGGGTGTAATCCAGCTGTCAAGGAAACTCTCCTGATCTGTCCAAGCTCCAGAGAATAAAATTTCCCGAGCAGAATCGGTCACATTTTCTGACCTCTCAGTTTGCCGACGGATAATATCGGCAAGCAGCAGTAGGCACCATAGTTCCACTTCGCAGGTTTTGTAGGTTTTTACGCAAGAAGTGATTGGCAGCGGCTCGGGCAAATTGGAAAACAAACTTTGGTCGCAATTTCCGGTGTTGGTAGTTAACACTGTTTGCGAAACAGACAAAATCGATGTTTGCGCTTTCCCATGTTGCAAGTACAGTAGTGTTTTTGCTCGATTTGCGAATATAGATTCCTCTTCGAATCCACGAGTCGCAGAAATTTGACAAAAAAAGAAAAAGCGCGATGTTTTCATAACTGGTCAGTGGTTGCGTGACGACCACTTATAGCGAATTATGACCACTTGTAACTATGTTTCGTTCGTACATCGATGCTTAGATTTTACAACGAAACCACATGAACAGATCTCCACGCAGGCTAATTATGTGTGCAAATCGCGATGTTGTCCCCCCTGTCATCAATGCATGTGTCGATGTAATGAGCAGTTTTCTTTAGGAGGTGAAGGGGGGTCTGTTGGGGGCTAATTTTTTCTGATTTAGCGTTCAAGCAGCAGAACATGTTAAGTGCGAGTAGTCTCTTATTTTGGAGGTGGCGATTTGTGGGGTAAGCGAAATATATACACACGCGCGAGCGCGAAATTTCGATACCCAATGCGAAGGGAGCGCCGAAAATTAGATTAGACTAATTTTCGTACTCCCTTCGCGTGGAGTCTTCTCGAAATTTCACGCGCGCGCGCGTGTGTATTTCGCCCTCCCCAGAAATCGCCATCGCCAAGATTAGAGACTACTCGCAGTCTCTAATCTTACACTGATTATTTATTTTTACGGATCGAGAATACTAAGCCAAAAACCACCAAAAAGTAAAAACCGCGCAATTTGCATGATACACGGGACCTGGTCGAGATTTCCGGTGTCAGTGATCAACTCCTTCGTTTCTATGAAAGAGAACTAACAATCGATATTTGAATATAATTTATCCACTTAAGAGCCACAGCGATTTCCGTCGCGTTGTAGTGGTTGGATCTTGACAGTGGAATTACGCCCAAGTTGTGAGACCAGTTATAAAGACATCGCGCTTTTTCGTTTTTTTGTCACATTTCTTCGACTCATGGATTCGAAGAGGAATCTATATTCTCGAATCGAGCAATCACTTCTTACTTAAAAACCCACGAAACCTGCGAAGTGGAACTATGGTATTGTAATCTTTATTTAGACACGATCAATTCATCAGCCTATAAAAATACATATCACATACGCTAAGATATTTAAAATTAAAACTACATACTATAACACTAAAGCTGTTTTCCGTGAATGCCGTGCGTTAGACTTAAAGAATGTCATTGATCTTACGTTTAAATAACCCCAGAGACTCTGTGTTCCTTATATCGCGTGGTAAACTGTTCCATAATGTGGCGCCATTGTAGCTAAAGCTTTTTCTGTAATAATTAGTGCGCGGTAGTGGAACATTAAGCTTATTTTCAGAGTCCCTGAGGTCATAAGCAGAGTCACGCCACGTAAACTTTGAATATAGATACCTTGGAGCTAGCCCGTGCAGACATCTAAACATCATGGTGGCTTTATGGATTTCCTGCTGGCGTGCAAGATTTTTCCACCCTAAAAACTCGAGTAGCTCAGTTGCATCAGCATCATAGTTAGAGAATGTCAACACACGGGCTGCTCTATTCTGCAATTTCTGCAGTTTGTCTCGTAGCGTTTTCCCACAGCTACCCCAAACAATGTCACAGTAATCAAAGTGAGGTTTTACTAAAGCTTGGTAGATGAGATGTAAGGTTGATGCTGGGATCAGGTGCCTAATTCGCTTTAGGGCCCCGATACCAGAGGCGATCTTTTTCGTTAGTTTTTCGATGTGACTATGCCAATCGAGTTTATCGTCTATTATTACACCAAGCGATTTTGTAGCTGAAACCTGGCTCACTTGAGTATTGTTCATTCTAATTGTTGGTGAAGCTGTGAGAGTATTCAGTCTCTGCCTCGACCCTATTAGCATGAATTCGGTTTTAGTCATGTTCAACGTGAGTTTGTTCGCTTGTAGCCAGTTGAAGACGTTTTCTAGGTCTTCATTTAGACAAAACTGAACGTTCTCAAGATTGCTTCCCGCATATGTGAGGTGCGTGTCATCGGCATACATTCTCGGTTTACAATTTGATAAGCAATTTGGAAGATCGTTGATATATAATAAGAACAATAATGGACCGAGGATGGTCCCTTGAGGGACGCCGC